GGCATCGTTTTTGCCCTCCACTTTCTGTTCAGGCTTTAACCAAGAACTTGGCAAAGGACGAGCAACTGGCAACTGCCAAGTTGCATTTTGCTCTCGAATGCATAAATTATAGTCGAAGACCAAGTGGAAGGTGCTCTATGAAATGTTATTGTAGTTATGCCCGTTCAAGCCGTGGAAAAGCGAGTATATTAGCTAGCAGATTGTACAACTAGTTTTTGTTATTGTAGATAGAGTCTAGAAATGGGAGATATATATGACACAAACACATATAGGCCCATCTTGGGGCGTGGCAAATTGAGTAAGGCATATATTTCTCAGTTATAGAGCCCTCATACTTGAATCACTCTTCAACGTTTGCTCATATTCATCTCGAGCTAGTGTTAAATGTATTCAGGTGCTGAGCGAGTATCGGACAGTCGTTCATGCCCGAATGCAATGCTTTTACTGGTTTTTTATGCAAATATCAAGCAGAAATTTGCATAGAGCTTGGTAATAAAAATCGATACTCGTTAAACGAGCAGAGAGCGGAAGGGAAGGTGAAAGAAAGAGACAGAAGAAGTAGAGGAAGTAGAGGAAGAGATGCAGAGCTAGAGAACTTCCGTTTCTAAAAAATCGCTCGTTATCATCCCATTGTATTCCGAGGCACGCACAAAACATAGAAATTGAAAAAGCTATCATCGAAAAAGTTGGAAATATCCTAGAACTGCCTCAGTAGATTCTATATCATATAATAGCTTCAAGGGAAAGGGAAATAAAAACCTCACTGCATTGCTAACATCAAGTTGAACATTCAGTTTGACTGCATGTCAAATATTTGTCAGTTAGCAACTTCCATAAATATAGTTATTAAGTAATTGAAAAGCCGTTTGATCAACAGCTTCACTATTAACTATAATTAACGAGCGCAACTGTACTTTAATGCATTTGGAGAAAAAAACATTTTCAAATTGTTTTTATTTTTTCGTAGTTGAACGAATGATTAATATGTAAATTGATTGATGGCTAAAATCGTAAAAAAAAAACAATAACTAAAACAAAATTCAATTAAGTGAAATGCGAATATGGCCATAAAAGAGAGACAGCAACAACAACAACAACAACAACAACAACAAGCTTTGGCCTTAGCTAATGGGCAGGCTGGCTTCTGCTTTTGGCCTTTTGGCATTTAAACGCGTTTTGGCTTTCTTCTGCTTTCAGCTGCGACTGACTGACTGGCACTCAAATGTCAGTTAGGATTTCAAATGGCTTATACCCACTGAAGTATTGCCATACGACAATGGGGTATATCGAAGGCAAAGTTAGAAGGGGGAGACAAGACTTATTTTAGCATACCCTTAGCATAGGGCTAATAGCTTCAAACCTAACCTCATTGCATATTTGATCATTGCTAAACCGATAAATATAGACAAATATCGATTTAGATATATATTTGTTATGCGTTTAGCGCTTAAAAGAAGTTCGATATTTATCGATTTTTATTAAATATTTCCAATACTCCCCTCGCAAATGTTGTATGTAAGCTGTTGAAAGACACATATATTCCACCAAAGTTTCTGTTTGCTTCTTATTGATATATTCTCATTTGCATAGCTCCGATATATATCGATTTCCAATCAAGCCTTTTTAAAATATTTTCAATATGTTATTTAAATAAAAACTTTGAAATTCCATATATAGATTAATATGCATAAATGACAATGCTTGCTCATATATGTCTCCTCGATTACTTAACATCGATTATTATCGATTTTTAGTTAAAAGTTATATATTTATAACATATACATTTCTTAAGTTAACTCTTATATGCCCATTCAAGTACAATCCTATGACTCTTTATTCGATAGCTTGAACAAATTCTACAGTTATCGATTTTTAATCGACGAGCTATAGTCTACATATTTGAACTAGAGATGTTTGTCATTCTGAAGCGTTTACCCAGCTTGAAGCAGAGATATTCGGTTAAAAGTTAGAGCCTCTTTGCTTATGCAGGGTATTCAGTAGTCGAGCACAATCGACGATTGCTATTATGCTGGTTATTGTAGACCGGGGCTAAAACTAATTAAGTCCAACAGCCAAATTTGACTTTGATGAACTGCTCGCATGTATATAACGGGTAGATTAGGTATATCTAGACGACGGGGAATGGGCTGGGGAGTGGGGATTGGGGGCGGTTGTTCATGCAATACGAGACGCATTTGCATAACAATCGAAGGGGAGCCGGCTGGTTGGGGAGCAGTGGGGGTAGCTCCCATTTGGAAGGGTTGCTTGTGTGTTGTCGGTGCCACAAATTGTTGCAGTTGCATTAATCTTAATTAATGCCATGTTGCAGTCGCTGTCGCAGTTGCAGTTGCTGCCTGCAGTTGCACTTGCCGCTTGCTGTTGCTCTTGCTGCGTATTTCAAGAGCAGGCTAATGGGAGCTTGCAGTTGGAGTCGAGGGGGGGTGTTGGGGCAACATTCTAATTAGGCGCGTGCTTTGCCGCTTCAACTTGCAAGGATTCGATTTGGCTGAACTATTCTTAAATGCCACAAGGCACAAGGCAAGTGCGGTGCAAGCTCATCTTAGCCCAGTTAATAGAGAGAGCGAACACACAAAAAAAAAAAATAAATAAGAAGGAAAATATAAGCTCAGCTGCCGCTGCTGCTGCCTCGACCCAAATGTCATCGAAATGGCGCTGAGTTCAAAAACAAAGCGCATGGCCCCAATATGCAGAAGCTGCGCAAGATTAACTAAGCAAAAGGCAAACAGAAGTGCAGCTGAATCTAGTGTATAGGAGGGAGTGCACGACTAGGGTATACCCGGCCGGCAAATGTCAGAGTTTTATACAACACTTTGTAGTTCCTATCCATACATTTCTAATCTACCTCTATCTCTATCTCTATCTCTATCTCTATCTCTATCTATATCTATATCTATATCTATATCTATATCTATATCTATATCTATATCTATATCTATATCTATATCTATATCTATATCTATATCTATATCTATATCTATATCTATATCTATATCTATATCTATATCTATATCTATATCTATATCTATATCTATATCTATATCTATATCTATATCTATATCTATATCTATATCTATATCTATATCTATATCTATATCTATATCTATATCTATATCTATATCTATATGTATCTATCTATATCTATATCTATATCTATATGTATCTATCTATATCTATATCTATATCTATATCTATATCTATATCTATATCTATATCTATATCTATATCTATATCTATATCTATATCTATATCTATATCTATATCTATATCTATATCTATATCTATATCTATATCTATATCTATATCTATATCTATATCTATATCTATATCTATCTATCTATATATCTACCGTTATATACCGCATATATCTTCTAAAATGAATTCAACAGCAAAATGCATAAATCTTGCCTCTAAAACGGTGAAAATTATAGTTTTTTTTAACAGCTTGCCACGCCCACACATAATTCTTAGTCAATATTGAGCAGCGGTAAACAGTAGTTCACTTATTAAAATAGAAATTACTAGTTATAGAATTGCTATACAATTATTAGACAAGTTAAACCCAATTTACCACGCCTACAAAGGGCGTATATTTATTTATAGAGAACTGTCTATGCCTAGTAGGGCTTTCTCTACACGAACGTATAATCAAAATGTCAAATCCTTAGCAAAATACTTTCCCTTTCTAAATGAGAACAGCACGACTTGCAGATACCCTGCAAATAAGAAACTAGCTAATTTCATATAACAAAACAAATATTTAAATATGTATTCACATATGTATATATAAGCTACTCCTTTGCTGTTTTTAGATCAAAGAAATATCTATGGGCTTTACTTGGGCTCTAAAGAGTTTATTGAGCTCTTAAAAGCTTTCATGGCATAGATTTCAAATGTTGCAGCTCTCAGAAATACTCGAAAAAGACTTCAAATTTGTTGTGAAACAAAAAAACAAGTGAAAAAGGTATAAAACGGAATTGAAACTGCGCGGAAACGGAACATGGCAGCGAAATACGTGCAGAAATAAATAAAAGAAAAGAAAAGAAAAGTAATTCTTCGGCTGCAACATTTTGTTGCCATGGCGGAATGCGATAAAGTTTTTAATTACTGGAGAGGGCGACACATATTTTACAGCCATTAAAAACTTGCCGACATGGCAAGAAGAATACCGCCCCGTGCCGTACCATCCTGCTCCCACCGGGAGTCCTCCGGCCTCCACACATATGCCAAGCGACACATTTGCCACCCACAGGCAAACAGACAAACAGACACCCTTTCGGGCGAACAGAACTGTTTGCTCTGCGAGTTTCAATTAACTGAAACATTTGCACATATATATATATATATTCCCACAGCCGAGCCCCATCGGACTCGGAGAATATTCAAATAATTCGCATGTGAACAATTAAGATGACCTAGAAAACAATTGCTGCAAAAGTTGGAGCTCTTGTTGGTTCCATTATTAAGGATTTTTGTCCAAAGCTCTGAACTATGCGAAATTAGGAACCAAAAGAGTTCTACCTAAGCTTACTATGGAGGATATTTAAAAAGTAGATTAGTTTGGCCCAGTTCTTTAAACATTTACAGTTTGCAGACCGAAGGACCTCAGGAACTATGAGAATTACAACTTTTAGATACGGTATGTGAGCTCTTCTAAAGCTGACTGTGAAGTATATATGCAAAACCAACCCATTTCAACATATTTTATCCGAGATTCTCGTCCAATAGACTCACGGAACTTGGAAGCTACGAGACTTATAGTTCGAAAATTTGGTATGTGAGCTCTTCTAAAGCTGACTATGAAATATATATGAAAACAAGTTCAGTTTTAGCTATTCTTTTGAGATTTCCATCTTGTAGACCCAAGGAACTTAGAAATCATGAGAGTAAAATCTGTTAAATTCGGTAATTTAGTTCTACTTATGCGTACTATGTTAATAACTTCATATTTACTCATTTCCGAGCAACCCTTCTGAAGGCACTCACGAATTGTAAGAGCTACAACTGTCAAATTTTGGATAGATGAGCAAGAGCTCCAATTCGATATGTGGTTAGGGGTGATGCAGTAATTCAATTACAAATTGAAGGAGTAGAGACATTATCTAGTCAAAATGTTAGAACATATGTAGCTAGGCTAATATGTTCAAAAAAACAGAATTTTTTTTTTGAAAAATATTTATATTTTTTTAAATTTCATTGTAAAATAAAAACAATGCTCATATTTCGTTAGAAAAACAGCAAATCTTTGGGAATATCTATATAGACTGCTCATCGCTATAGTTATTCATATGTATCAACGGCAAGAGGAACGATTTCATAATCTGGCAAGATGTGCGAGGTGCAGATGTTGCTGGAAGACCTGGGCCATACGTTCACCAAATTCAAGGAGCAGCGCCGCGTCGAGATGCTCCGGCTGGTTGGGCAGGTGCGTTGCTGTGAATGCGGCCACAAGATGCGTATGCTGGAGGCCCAGAAGTCGGTGTACAGATTTTCGATGGGCCGCAGGAAATTTCTAGCGATTTGCGTATTATTCCTGCTGCTGCTGGCCATGATGTGGATCTATATGACAAGGCGATACAACCAGGTGGCCGCCCTAGGCAGCGGCGCCTGTGTCGCCACATACTTCTTTACCCATAACGGTTGCGATATCTATGCTTAGCATTGTTTTTATTTACATATTAAATATGAATTTATTTCTTACGCCGTGCGGGTCTACTTCTTGGATAGTTAACGATGATATCGATAAATACTGTTTTGAAGGCTACTGAAATGGCATTATATCCAGGTGCTGACTCGTCTACTGTGTTTATCTTTACTTTTTTATGAGTAGGCTCAATTTCGACAATTATCGACGTGGCTCTCATATAGTCGTATTTTTATTTCAATTTTCAATGTTCATGTTCTTAAAATTCATTCCTCTTGGAATGTCACTATCGTTAAATATCGATATTTGCATATATCGAAAATACCATTTGCTACAATGTGATTTCTCTCTCTCTCATTTCCATTCTACTCGCTCTCTCTCTCTTTGTCTCTAACTCTCTCTCTCTCTCTGTCTCTCCCTCTCTCTCTCCCTCTTCTTTATCTTTCTATCTCTCTGTCTCCTCCTGTCTCTCTCTATTTCTCCCACTCCTCTCTTTTCGCCCATTTTCATTTTGCATTTCTCACTTTATGTTTCAAATTTTAAACATAGTCTTCATCTATGGAACTTACAATTTCGGGCATTCAATATCAAGTTGTGTCTGAGCTTTAACTTTTCGATATCTGCAATAATGCTCATTTCTGCTTCTGTATTTCCCCCAAGCGATTCCAAAAATGCGCAACAGAGGGCGCAACAGCTACACCAAGCCAAAACCGACAACACGAAAAAAAAAACACTTTCTAACATCTAACAACAAATTCCTTTACAATTCACTAAACAGCAACAACAAGAAGAAGAGCAAAAAGTCGAGCTTAACGCAAATTGTGCAAACACAAACCAAAAACTAGCAGAAATTAAAAAAAAAAAAAAAAAAGACAGCTAAAAAATTTGTTTGTGCAACAAAGTAACAACACGCCCACAACACAGCCTCGCCTCGCCCCGCACAGCCCACCACAGTGTCCACGCCCTATTTCAGTTAAAATCAACAGCTGCCCAAAAACCATTAAAAAGAGTGGTATGAGCCTAAAATAGGGTCTGTCCGACTAGGAGATGCTCTAAAGGCATTGAACGGAAGCAGTTATATAAATAGATGTATATATAGAAACTATTAGAGATACACTTGGAAAATTTGATAAGTGAATAAGAGAGCCAAGAAACTCAGAAAATATAAGGGTAATATGAATGTTATGAATACTATAAAGTACATATGAAAATCAGACCTTTTCTAAACATATTATACAAGATTATCGTTCAATGGACCCAAGTAACTCCAATACTATAGAAATTATAGTTGGCGAATTTGTCACATGAACACTATTTAAGCTTGTTGTGAAGCATATATAAAACTGCTACTTATTTTATACATGGTTCCCCCTTTATAGACCCAAGGAACTCAAGAACTAAATGAGCTATAGGTTGCAAATTTGATATTTAAGTTCTTATAATACTTACTACGAAGCATAAATAAAAACCAATTCCATTTAACTTATATCATCTGAGATTCCCGCTAAGTAAACTCAATCAACTCAAAAACTAAAAGAGATGGTAACATGAAAAAAGCTTTACAAAAGCTTATATCTGAGCACTTGTGCTAATTAGGTCAGCTTTACCCATCTTATCCTAGATTTCCATTGTATAGGCCCAAGGAACTCATAAACTACAACACACAGAGCTTTCGAAATTCGTATATGAACTTTTCTAGATAACGCTTTAAATGTAACAAACATTTGCACAATATCAGAATACCCTATTCAGTTCGTTTTCAATGGGTTCAGGTTGTACAAAGAATGTGAAATAAAATCAACAAATGCGCAGCGTCAAACTAAACTAAAGCAAAAAGTAACCTAAAGAGGCGCAAACAGTGGGCGTGGCATGGCCTGCCTACTGTTGAGGCGTTGCGTTTAGTGTTTCGTATACATATATATACTACTTTTTTTATTTTTGCTGAATAGTTTTTCAATTTTTTTCCGCTCTTTTTTATGAATGGAACGCAAAACGCGGCTCAGTCGAGGGGCGGCTGGGCGTGGCTGTGCTCGTTAGAAAGCCGTCTGCCGACACTTGAAAGTGTTGCCAAAGCTTCTGTGTGTGTGAGTGTGTGTGTGTGGGTGTGTATGTATGTAAATGTTTGTGTGTGTGTTTTGTTGTTGCTTTTTCATATTTCTAGTTCGCCATTCAAGAAGCGAAACAACCAACAACAAACATGAGCGACAAAAGCGACAGCCGTGCGACATTAATTGAAGTTTGTTGAACCAAAAAAAGCTATTTGCATGGCCCCCATTCTTAATGAACTAGCCACGCCCACAGACGCAACCGTTCGCCCGCCCGCCCACGCTGTGGCAGCATCTTTAGCTGATGACTGAATGATAACAACAACAACAACAACAACAACAACAGTTGCATAAGAAGAGGAAGAGACAGATGGGATGTGCACAAAAGCACTTCAATCAAGCTAACTGATTGATTGACTGACTTAGTATGTCAGTGACTGAACGATTGAGTGCGTGCTAGATACACTGAATGATTGACTACTTTATTAAAAGACTGAAGTCAATGATTAACTGATTGATGCTGGGTTGATTGAGTGACTGTTTGACTCCATGATTGCTAAATATTGATTGGGGTACTCAGACTGATTTGATATGTTAAGGGATTGACATCGGCTGATTCAGTCAATGATTGACTGACTGATTGACACAGTCAAGCATTATTGAATGTATTCATTAATTGATTATCATGGATCCTGGTTGATTGATTACCAGTTTGGCTGACTGCATCATTTTAAATGATTGATGGCTTGTGTGATTGAGCAGTCAATTGATTTACTTTGATTGAGCATTAAAATAGAGCCAGTGACTGTCTAATAGACTGAGTACTTGAATTGATTGATTGATTGGGAAGCTTCAAATGTGACTGATTGACATAAGGACCAATTGTGTGACGGATGGCACGACATTCCACTTGACTACTGTCTTGAACTATTGATTAACTTCTTTGTCTGTCCTTCTGATAAGTCAAAAGAATGCCTGGTTGATTGACTGATGCACTGATTGATTGCTGGCCTATTTGAGGTAATCAACAACCTTATGAGCAGGCTGACAGGCCAATTAAAAATTTGCTTTTCATCAGATTTGCTTCAAACTCATTTGATCTCGCTATAAATTAAGTGAAGGCGGAAAAATGCCTTAAAACCTTTCAGAAAAAACGTTACGACAGCTCAGAAAAGTAATTAGATTTGTGATTCAATTTCCTTCATTGTCTTTGCTTCATGGGAATTTTCACTTGTCTCAATTGCTTTTCTGTTCATTTTCATACTTACATTAAATCGTGATGCAATACGCTGAGAAATTGTCAAAAGAAATATTGCAAAGATATTTCCTGGCAAAGGTTTTTGTAAGACACGCTAATTATACCCTATATAGTTGGTTGTTAACGAAATACGGTGGCAATCTTGCGCCGCATAAACTCAGGAAACTCATTAACTATGGAAGATTGAGATACCAAAATTCGTATGTAAGCTTTGCTTACCCTCTCTTTAATGTATATATTGGGTATAGTTAAAATATATGTAATCTAGCCAAGATATGTGTTTTATAGACCCAAAGAACTCAGTAACTAATTAGATTATAATTACCGAATCCGGGGTTTGAGCTCTTGAAGAGAGTACTATATAATTTATATATAAAACGTTTCTGTTTTATATATTTTTCTAAAACTTGCTTTGTAATAGATCCAAGGAACTCAGAAATTATAAGAGTTGCAAACGTAAATTTTGGCATGAAAGTTACTGATAGAGATAATGAGAGTTATAACTGCATTTTGTATATGCATTTGATTAATAATCTTTCTTATAAAGAACATTATCTATGTTAGATCATAAAAGTTGTTGTATGAGACTATTACTTTACAACTCGCTTGCCTTTCTAGAGTATCTCTTCGTCTCTCCATTCATTGCAGACACATTTTCATTAGTTTTAATAGCAGTGACATTGTCGAGAGCTCAAAGTAGCTGTCTAACTTGTAAGGAAGTTGCTGAATCTTGAACCCCGCTCACGAATCCTTTTTGGCACCAGGTTCATTGCGCCCAGAAAATTTCTCTTCGTTTTTCGTTCTGTTTTGTCTTCGTCATTTTCTCTCGCTGCCTCTTACTCTTGCTCCATAAACTTGACAAAGTTGTTGCACAGGCAGTAATGCAGAGACCTTCGCCCGATCCACCGCACCATGTCCATTTATCCTCCTGCTTAAGAGTTTTCTAGTTACAAACTGCGATTTGTTCTCCTTTTTTTTTGTGCTTGTTGCAATTGGAATTTTCAGTTCAAGGGAATTTGCCATAAACATTTTGTTCCTATCTCTGTTGATTACAAATCTCTTTTTTTTCAGATGTGTGTTTGTAGCTAATGGAAGAAAAGAGAGGAAGAGAGGGAGAGAGAGAGAGAGAGGGACCTCGCTGTTGGTATATGTATTTGCCTCTCTGCCTTACTATTAGACTGTCTGTCTGTCTCTCTATCTCTCTATCCCTCTGACTAGCTCTTTGTCGCTCTTTCTCTCAAGCTGACCCTTTATATGACAGAGAGAGGGAGCGAGAGTGAGTGAGAGGAAGAAAGAAATGAATCTCCCTGTTAGTAAATCTATTTGCCTCTCTGCCTTTCTATTAGACTGTCTGTCTGTCTCTCTATGTCTCTCTGTCTCTCTCTCTTTCTCGCTCTTTCTCTCTCTCTCTCTCTCTTTCTTTCTTTCTGACTTGCTTTTTGAATCTCTTTCTCTCTAGCTAACCCTCTATATATATGCATATGCCTATTTGATCAATATTGAAACACTTTCTCCTGGCTCAAGCGCTGCCAGTGTTGCCACTATTTGCCAAAAAACGTGAAGGCTGCACGGCCAACCAAAAATCGTTGATAAGCGAGCAAAATGGAAATAATTATTTGCAATTGAAATTAATTTGTTCGCCTGGTTCTAAAAATCTGCGGCGACGCTAGGGTTGCCACCGGCGTGCAAATATTTGCGCAAACAATTTCAACTTTCGTCCACAAAATGGCGGCGACTATGGGGCGGTGCCTGG